AGGATACCTCACAGTATTATTTTAATAAGGTAAGATCTCACCTCTTGTATGTTTTCCTTGGCCCGCCTGTCACTTGGCTGCACAATATGACCTGTCACCTTCAGGTTACCATGAATAACCATCGCTTCATCAGGTCGATCTGTGTTGATTCCTACTCGACCAGCATGAAAGATAGATTCTGGTGTATGGCCCTTTTGCCAGCAAAGTTCTACATCACTCTCAAACTGGCCAGGGTTTGATGCCTGAAACAGGAAAGCCTGGTGTCTTCAGGTACACTGCTCTAGATGGTATGCAGTATAGGAATTTGAAAAGAATTACAGAAACAAATTATGATCCTTATTAGCACAAAATCAAATAAATTTAAGTTTCTTAGACTTGCTAGTGTATGCAAAAACTGACAAAGGCAAACATTCCTTTTCTGTTAGTGTCTTGGTTGACTCATACATTATTATGTAAACAAAAACATATAATGATGAGGCCATTTGTCTGTCTGCATGTTTCTTCTCCAAAACTACCAGATAATTCCAATTAAATATGGTACTAGGGGTTTATGCCAGAAGTTGTAAAGTAAATTTAACTTTGGTCTGTACCTGTCCAATATAATCCCAACTTCACACAAAGCTCAGATTCAAAACTAATAATTCCCTTAAAAAGGATCATAAAAAGATTAGTACATACATAACATACAGACCTCATTAAGCTCTAAAACCTATATCTGAAACATTTACAGTGCTATAAATATTTTAAAAAATACAATAAAAAATAAATTTCTGATACAATGCAGTGTTACCTGTCTTTAACAACGCTAAGAATAAATTTTAAGAATATTATAACTCCAAATTGAAGTACATATTTATTCTCTTTTAACTCAAAAGTTCTTTACTGTTATCACCCTATCCTGTTCAAATCACATCATGACAATACATTTCCTTCAACAGTTATTATCAAGGTGTCTGCAGTGGCTGCGCGGTGTGAGGCGTGGGCCTTCTACCGCTTGGTCCCACTCAAGCCATGGACGTTTGTCCGCGTTTTTCTGTGTTGTGCTGTCCTGTGTACAGATAGAGGCCTTGCGATTGGCCAATCCCTCGTCCAAGGAGTCCTACCGATGTCTATAGATCAAGCCAATGAAAAGTTGGGACCCGCAGTGCTCAGGCACTTGAAGAACGGGTCGTTCCCAGTATCGCAGTTATTATCAAGATTTAATCTATACTTTGGTCTAATGAGCGGCCTCTTTCTATTAAGTTTTCTAACAGAACATTATATCCATGTCTAGTTCCAAATTAGTACTGCAAAACCAAACAGAAAATTTGTAACTGTAGGTTGGAGTAGTAATACTTACCCTGACAATAATACGCTCAGAAGCATGGGATACAATGGGGTAGTTGTTACTGTCTGCACAATGCGCATGGAGTCCCACTACCAGATAGAAGTAGCGCTGGTCAGGGTTTGGTTTCCCTTTCTTACGCATATTGTTGGATGTTGTTTCACTAAAGTGTAAACGTCCAACTGTGACCTTCGTCACCTGTTCTCCTTGCAGATCCACACTGAAATTCAAAGTGACTTAAGTCCTGCAGAACTACCAGCTAATACAGAACTTCTAACAACATTGCAAAGTACTGTGTGCACACAGTTTAACAGTTGTGACAGGTTTGCCAGAATGTAACCTCTGTAATTGGTGCTGGTGATATCATAGTCCTCTGCAGCCAATAAACTTTAACCTATGCACCACAGGCCTACAACCCACCTGCAGCTACTAAAACTGATTTTTTCCTCAGATAAGAGTAAGGGTCTAGGATCACTGTTAGGAAAAATAATGAAGTCAAACAGCTGTGCAATGGCCAACATCCTAACCTAACCAAACCCAACCCAACCCAACCCAACCTAGCTTAATTCTGATGTCTGGAGATATGGACTAGCTCTATTGATTGGGTCCAACAGAATAGGTTTCACCTGAAGACTGAGATAGACTCCAATCTTCGAAACATCATGTTTTATTAAAACTTGGATGATGGATAATGTCCAGAAAGAAGTTTGCTTTACCAACCTAACCTAACCTAACCAGCAATATTTCAGTCCTGTAAACATGAAAGCCACAATTCTTTATCTGTAAAAACAATAATATATAAAACTGAAATTCTTTTAGCATTTATTTATTGGTAAAATTTTAAAAAAATATATATTATTATATCACAGTGTATAAATAGCAGAGTAGTTCCATCCATATCACACAGCAGTGGAAGTTTTCTGTCTGTAACAGTGAACTGGCTGAAATCTGTTCATGACATGTTAACTTACAGCACAGGATGAAAGGGTTTCTTGCTGCGGTCACTTTGCGATTGCTCCACTTTGATTGTTTGTGTTGGGGACTCCACTTTAACGCCATAGAAATGCAAATGGAAGCTTGCAATTTTCTTGAGGCCTTCAGCAGTCTTGACAAACTGTGCATCACCCTGAAGCTGTGCATGGCATGTGATCTGTATGGAGAAGCGTAATTAATGTTATGGAACATTTAGTGTAAATTTGGCTGCAGTGATCAATTACTGAAGAAATTGTGCAACCCTTCAATTTCTACACATGCATACATGCATTAAGAACTATTGATTGATGAAGACAAATATTTAGGTAATAATATCTAATTTTCCTTTAAAACTTATATTATATTTCTTATCACATATCTTTAAATAAAGAAATAATAGTGTTCAATTTGAATTATTGTTATCTAACAACTGAAAGATCTTGATGCTGAACACTCACTCCCATCTAGTGCCAAGGTCAAGAATAAGTGGGAGCTACACCTCTTCTCCCCAACACCAAGTGCCTACATGGCGTATAGTGAGCCAGCTTTACTTTACTCTACTGACTGAAGCTAAATAAGTGTCCATCATACTGAATAAGTTTTCAAACAGAATAAGAAGGGCATGGCATGTAATACACACTGTAGATGCAATCACAATTTAAGTTGGCAAATCTTAAAGGAAGTTACCATTTAGGAGACGGCATAAATGAGTGGATATTAGGATGGACCTTGAAGATATAGAATGTGAGGAGGTGGAGTGCATTCATTTCACTCAAGATAAGGTCCAATGGCATGCTCACATGACAATTGAGCATACAGATTCCATATAAGACAGAAACTTTATTGACTGAGAGATTATAACCTTCCTGTCATATAAATTAAATTAATATAATTTACTTACATTCCAAAAATCATTCACAGTACAAGTCAAGGATATGTACTTACAGATAATCTAACTGCATTATACATTTCAAATTCCATCCATAACTCTGTCCTCTCTTTCTGTTCATAATATACAATCTACAGTACAGGTAGCCCTCGATTTACACCCGGGATGCGTTCCTGGACGAACCAGCGTAAATTGGAACTCTTTTATAATGTAAATCAATGGGAGGTCAATGACACGCATTCCCAGCACCCAAACATTTACAAGTAATATAATGGCATTACATTTAAAGCTCTACATAAATAAAATAAAGGGAATTTAAAAAACATATTTTCTACACTTACAATCGGCAATTCGTCGGTCCTCATGATTGACTGCAATTCTTTCATGTGATTGATGTGTACAGTCATCTCTGCTGTTATGAGATAGTTGCATTCATGTATGACGCCGACCTATAGAAAATCGCGTAGTAAAAATAACCCCCGGTACCTCCGCAGAGATTAAATTAGTCATTTGAAAGTTTAAAGGGCCAGGAATGAAACAGCATAAGAGCAAACTTGCACATGCAAAAGTTTGCATTTCACAAACAGCTTTTACTGATTCATCGATCTCATTGGAGCAAATTCGCGTTAACAAAACATACATAATTGCAGAGATGACTGTATTTATAATTTTTATCCAAAATCAGCGATGTAAGTATTATGATTTAGTATAAGAATCAGTACGAGATACATTGTAAAACGTTATAAATAATAGTAAAATATATTTTTTTCACTTTTTGACTTGCTGGTTTCAAAATCGGCGTTATTCTAAATCAGCGAAAATTGAACCGGTGCAGATCGAGGGTTACCTATATATTTTTAAAACCAAATCTGTATTGTATTCATTAACTACTAACACGTTTGCTTACCTGGAAATGGTTCTTTTTCTGACAAACAAAAGCATCATCAGCATTAGAGAAGTTGAATCCTTTGTCTGCATCTACTCTGTAGTGTGGAACAGGGCTGGAAGAGACATTTACACTGTGATAAATAATTAAGTGCTGAATAATTCTCAAATATCTTTGTGCCCAACAGTCCACATAATTGTCTGTATCTTCTTATTAAAATAATATGCAACTTCCTATGAACAAGGGTCACTAAATTCCCTAATTCAGAATAGGTACACATGGGCCCTAAAAGCAAGAAATTTAGTTTTTCTGGATTTTCTCTTCACAAAGATAACTTTCTTCATTTGATGCACTATTAACAAGATAATTAAATAGCTGATTGTTGTTTCATTTACAAAGACTGCAATTCAGGTTACAGCCTCAAAATTACTTTCTTAGTGCCACAATTACTCTGCCTGTTCATAGAAAATATTAGCCTATCTTTATTGAATAACCTAGAAGATCACAATTTAAATGTTTTCCATATATTTAATTTTGAAAAAACAGAACTGTCTAATATTTAGGTGCCTTACATTTAAATAGAGTAAGATATTAAAACTTGATAATTTAAAAAAAATACCAAACTTACAGCTCTTTTAAGTTCTGGTCACAAAGCACATGCCATGAAGTCTGCTGGAATGGTTGAAAACGAATGCACTGGTAACTGGAATCCAAATACATTCCTGATTCTCCAGGAATCTCAAATCCATAGTCATCATCCAGCACTCCTGTCTGATTAGAACTCGAGTCTGGAGACAGTTCTGTAAGAAAGTAAAACAAGACGGTAAAGAATAACAATTCTGTGTGGGGCTCATCCACCTAAAGGCATGTACAAATATTCCATAGAGACAAAAAGAATTTCAAACTAAAATCTTCCCAGCCTAAAATATTAAAATGATTATTTACAGGAAGACAACTTGCTACTGACTATGCCATTTTCATTACTTTTAATTTTTATTTATTAATTATTATTATCACCACTGTTCGTATCAACACCACCATCATCATCATCACTCGTTCTTATTCCTTCTGTTGTTGTTACAACATGCAAACATTTTCACTTTACTGTTTATTTAACATCAGAGTGTTTTCTTACAAATTTTTTGCAATTTCTTAATTTTTTCTGTACTTAACTACTACATATGAGAAAACACTATAATAAGAAACTACATAACAAGGTCTCAAAGTATGTGCAAAGCTGTGACCATCATAAATTTAAATTAGGAGAGAAGAATATGCTTTATACAATTAGAGAGTTGGTAAAGATAGTTAATAAGGCTTATATAATTAAATGATTAAATAAACTACGGTGAAGAATGAGCACTGAAAATATGAACAAACATCCACCAGATGAAATGTACTTTATGTTATGTAAGATTTGAGGTTTTCACAGCGGTGAGTATGAAGATTTCTGTCTTCTGGGTTGTTGCACTGTGTAGTCTGGTCGATGGTAACCAATGTTTCAGAGGTCACCCTGATGGCGGAGGCAGTATGACCTCTGAAACATTGGTTAACATTGACCAGACTACACAGCGCAACAACCCAGAAGACAGAAATCTTCATACGTTATATTAGTTTAAAATATATACATTAAGATGTTCAATGGTTTAAAGTGGCCCCAGCTGGTGCAGGTAATCAGGCAGCAGGCAACCCAGTCTAGCTGTATTAACCCTCTCCATGCTATACATAAGCTATCTAGTTTAAAAGCTTCATATCTTATACATTAAATTTTGTGTTCCAAAAGATGAATGACAGGCTGAGATTATCTGATAAAAGGCCAGCGAGTAGTCACAGTTGAGGTATAACACTCTGGCCTTACAATGTGCCTACCAGTCGGGTTTGATACTAAGACACATCAAATACAGTGACTGAAAAGTTGGCACTCCTGTTTAGCTACTTGGGAGATCAGCTGTTCTGGCTGAGGTTCTTCATGATCTTCTTCAGCCCCTCCAAGGAAATGCTGAGATAGTATCTTAAACTGCTTATGACCGTTTCTTCCACATACTTCCAATTTAATTTTCCATGATCACTCTCCAACAAAAACACTACATAACTTTCAGTACTACTGTTTCTATAAACTTGATCTATCATTCCAATATACTAAAAATTAAGCCATTACATTTCAGGGTAGCCCCTTCTATTCGACCCACAGAATAAGAATTGTCACCTGAACACAGAAGCAGAGCCAGTTCCTGAAATGTAGTTGTTTCATTCTTAGTATGATGAACAATGAACCAAGTCCAGAGAAACAACAGTACTGAATGTAACACGCCATCATTATACTCCTTTGGGTTATATTACTACATAACCTGGGTGACTAATTTAGTAATAAATAGGATTACTACTAGTACACAAGTGGCAAATAATAAGCAACTGACAGCCCTGATATTCAACCTATGAAAAAAAATGAAATCTTTTTGTAAATCAATTGGTAGGGATAAACTCCACTATCCCCAAAGCTAAATTGCCATCACAGTCAATGACAGTTCAGATGACTGCTACAACATAATGATGAAATCACCTGGTTCTTGTTTTACATGCACCATACTGTTCAGGCCCTGTTGCTGACCTCCAGTGGCACCACTTGAATTTCCATTGACTCCTGATCCTGGAGTTCCCCCATCTTGTGACAACTTTCTTTTCTTGGAGCCCCCTTGCAGAGTTGAGTAGATTGTGATGTTGCTAGACTGATGCTCACTTGCAAGGCCTGCATGTGCTGCTGCCAGTGTCAAGGTGGACGTATTTGGCACTAAACCTTTTAAAAGACACAATCATAGGTCTCCTTAGTTGAAAATATTAGATCTGCTTCATTATGTCTGGGAAAAAATGCTTCTTTGTATGAAACATGACTTTATTATAATGTACAATTGCACAATTTTAATGTAATGATTATAACATGATAAAGTCACAAATTGTCAATAAAGTCATAAGAAGTATCTGAAGACAGACAGAAGATCATTCAATGTCAACCAATTTCTATCAAGGAAGACCTTCTTCAGGAAAGTTCTCTCCAAGAACAAACTTTCACTTTCTCCTGTTCTGTCCCTTCCATTTGGGGAGGAGTCTGAAGGGGCCAAATTTTCCTCCTCTTCCTCTCTGGTGGTCCTGAATTACTTGCTCGTATTAGACCCAGGCTTAGCTCTGTATCTCCTACCCCTCCCTCCTTTGGCTCTGATAAGCAGATGTTCCTGACCTGATCCTTTATCTAACCCATAACACATCTAATTCATAACTCTCAACACTTAACAACGCCTTGTCATTACATCTGCAATCAAGAAATAAAATCCTCCCTCAAAATGCAAAAAAGCAAAATGATGATGATGGCATTGGTGGTGGTATTGATGATAATCTTTATTTAATATATTTACAATTGCATGCAATACTTAAAATACAGATTCTAGGAAAGCTTGACACTGTGATCACTCATTCATAAGCTCGGCTTCAGCTAATTGTAAATTATTCCAGTGATTAAATGGCAGCCACACACTTCCATCCTTTTGTACTACTGGTACTGAACCACCTCTTACAAGACAGTTAATTATTTAGTTCACTGTCAGTTCAATAATCCTGTTACCCTTGTGATGATGATGGCGACATGAACGATGGAAACCTCAAATAGAACGCTAAACATGTGATTAGGCATTTAATGCAATTTGCCACTTACCTAAATTTTGTAAATTTGGCCCTGCAGAGGAGGCTGTAACATTTAAACTAATTGGAGTTTGAGCCTGCGTGGGTTGATTTGTACTGTTTGGGGATGGAATGTTCTGAGCGTTGCTGTTCTGCTGCGTGAGAAGTGGTGTCAGAACTGGATGTTGTACTAGTAACGTCTCTCCCACAGGTAAGAGTTGTTGAGGATGACCACCATGGTGATGAGGAGGGGTGGGTGGAGGAGGTTTCACAAGGTTGATGTGATGTGATGGATGGTACATATTGGAATGATGATGTGGCAGAGAATGGTTATGATGAGAATGTGGATGGCCAGCAGGATGCTGCAGTAAAAT